AGGTGCGTCTTACTCTGACCAAGCCATTCTGTTGCCTCTTCCCCTATGCCACAGGGTAAGTCTATGTTCCATCTGTGCTAGGCCCTGACGGACGACAGAGCCCTCCACCTGTTTCGCATTCATTCACCAGAGCATCAAATAAACGTCTGCTGTATACCTGCCCTGAGCACACAGTGTGAGCAGAAAGATTCAGGCCAAGCCTGTGAGGGTCTCAAAGTTCTGAAGGAAATGAACACCCAGTAATCACACAGGAAGATGGGCATGCAGCAGGGTTTACCCCTCCCACCAACACTAGTGAGGCTTAGGCAGGAGGATCATGGAAAGTTTGAGGTCAGGCTGGCCTGCAACCTAAACTGTACAAAAAAAAAAAAAAAAAAAACGTGCGCTCCTCTCTTGGGGTCTGGAAAGATGGCTCAGCGGTTAAGAGCATTGCCTGCTCTTCCAAAGGTCCTGAGTTCAATTCCCAGCAACCACATGGTGGCTCACAACCGTTATCTGTAATGAGGTCTGGTGCCCTCTTCTGGACTACGGGCATACACACAGACAGAAAGGTGTATACATAATAAATATTTAAAAACAAACAAAAAGCTCTCTCACCAGGTGGTGGCTGCACACGCCTTTAATCCCAGCCAGCACTTGGAAGGCAGAGGCAGGAGTATCTCTGTGAGTTCAAGGCCAGCCAGAGCTACACAGAGAAGCCCTGTTTTAAAAGTCTCAAAAAAACAAACAACAACAACAACAAACAAATCAAATCCTCTGTCTCAAAAAACCAAGGACCAGAGGTGTGCCTCAAGAGTGGAGCCCCTGCCTAGGATCCCACAGTGAGGGGCCGGGGGCGTGGCTCAGGGGTGGAGCCATGGAAACCAGCCCTGATGGGGTCCAGTTTAGGGAGTTGGTTATGGAAGGATGGAGTACACGTGAAATGTCTCCATTTCAGACGCCAGGGAGGCCTTCAAACCTAAGATGGCAGAGCTCTGAACAGTCGGTGGCAAGTGCAAAAGACCTGGGACCTTAGGGATCGTGGGACATTGGAGGACCTTCTTCCTCTCGTGCCTGGATTAGAAGGGCTCATACTGAGGTACGAATGGTTGCCAGACAAATCAGATTCATCCGGGTCCAGCACAGGGAGGGAAGCTGAGGCCCTGTGTGACTTCCGGCGAAGTGGTTCTGCTGCCCTCTGGTGGTGACCGTGGCTACCTGGTCCCCATAGAGCCTCCACCAGTTCCTCCAGGTAAAACCTGTTCTGTGACAGGCGTCCCCAGCCCAGGGCCCTCCCTCTGGTCTGCCCTCCCCGGGTTCGGAGCCAAGGGCTCAGAGATGCTCTGGTCTCACACTGCCTCCCAGGATGCCCCTGGGCCTCCTCCACCTACTCCTCAGTAAGTGTGGTGACAGCAGTCCCTGCCTTCCCTGGGCAAACACGACCAGCTCCAGCACACTAGCTTCCACCAGAAGTTCTAGACCCCCACGGTCTCTATTCTCCACCCCACCCGGTCCCAGCCGCCTGGGGCTAACCTTCACCTAACCCGGTCAACCTCATCTCCCCAGGGGTCAGCTCCTGAACACAGCTCATTCGTCATTAGTCAGCCATTCCCCGGCCGCCTCCTTCAGCCAACTGAGAAGCCTCTGAGGGAGATGTTATTCTAGTTCACACCTACCGGCTTTTTACCGGGCGTGCTGGCCAGTGCCTAGACAATGTTTGCCGAGTAAATGAAGGTGACCCCATTCATTGTCTGGAATTTAGTGTTCTATGTATTCCCCATTCAAAATTTACAGGGTGTGCTCATTCATAGTAAGATGTAATGACTCCCCGGTAAGTTAAGGCTCTTGACATTCAGAGGGGTAAGCCTCTGAAGCCCAGCAGTCACCGAGGATAGGGTGTGGTGGCCAAGCTGGCCCCACTTATGGCCTCAGAACAGGCTTGTCTTTGAGCCTCAGTTTCCTCAGCTGGGAAACATGGTCAGGGCACAGTCGGGCCCCAGTCGGTGAACTGTTTCTTTTCGGTCTAGGGCGGCCTATTTGGGCTTGTGTGCCACCAGAGGGAGGCGTTTCCGGCGGGTCCCGAGGTCACAATCTGGCAGGGCCCTGGGAATCCAGCACCTGTCTCGGAAGTTGTTGGGCTCAAGTTCTGGCGTCGCCTTGGACACCTGCCCAGCGCCAGCCTGCAGCTGGGCGCTCCCGCGGGGTCCGGGGTCGGGGAGGGACTGACGCTGAGGCCTCGGGTAGTCAGGGGTGTGAAGGCCCGAGCGGAGGGCGCGCGAGCGGGGCGGCGCCACTCACCTCCAGGGCTGCAGGCCCAGCGACGGGCTGCACGGGCTGCACGGGCTGCCGGGGCTCAGCAAGCATGGGCTCTGGCTGCTCGGCGACAGACTGCAAGACAGAGGCTGGCGGTGACCCCGCGGCGACCCGGCGTGACCCCCGCGGGCTCCCGGGGGCCGCACCGCGGGACTCGGGCCTCGGTACTCACTCGAGCGTCAGCGCCGGGATCAGCAATTTCTCCCTGCGGGACTTCATGGCGGCACCGCGCGAACCGACGCCCGGTGGTACCGGACGCGAGCAAATGCGCGGGGACTACGGATAGAGGGACGCTCGCACCGGCGGCTGTCGGGGGCGGGGCCACGGATCGAGGGGCGGGGCCGGGGCGGGGCAGCAGGTGGGCTGAGGGGTGGGACCATTGGCGGGACGGAGAAGTTGACCGGCCGGACTAAAGGCCCCCGGAGCTGGCAGGGGAGGGGCTACAGCTGTGGGTGGGCCTATGGGTTGGAGGCGGGGTCATGGGAGGGGCTATGGGTGCCGAGTCGAGCCCGGCTTCTGAGGGCAGTGGTATGGGAGTGGGGCGGGACATCTGTTGTGTAGGCAAGGCTATGGGGTGCGGGGTGGAGCTATGGGATGTAGAGTGGGGCTTCCCTGGAGAACCGTGTATTCTAAAGAGGGCGGGGCCTAAGTCGCATAGCTGGGTATGACTTGTGGTCGGTGGGGCGGGAGGGGGCTCACAATGTGTTCGATGGGCGGGGCGTATTAAAGTAATTTGCAGGACTCGAGGCGGGGCCTCTGGGTGGGCGTGGCTGCTGGACGGGCCCTTGGAGGCGGGACACCAAAGAACTGAGTTGGGGGTGGGGACAGAGGCGGAGCCTCTCACGGTGGGGCGGGGCTGAGCACCAGAAGACAGAGGGCGTGCGCGCGCAAGGGAGCCAGCAGGACCAGCACTCTATTGCGGGGGTAGGGGAGTAGGGGGTGTTGGGGGCTGCAGTCTTAACCTCCTTGGCCAGGTCCTGGGACATTCAGTCCGCCCAGCCATGGGTTGGAAGAGAAGGCGACCCCCTCACCCGGATCGCTTTGGCTTGTCGCTTCCCATCGCCGCTCTCCCACAGACCTGGTCCCTAACAGCCCTCGACGGAGACACACATAGCACGGGTGATGTAGGGTTGGTAACTTCCCGAGGACTCTGGCCCTCACTTCACCCTCGAGATCGGTTCACTGCGCTCCTCCCACCTCCCCTCCCCCGGTCCCTCAAAGCGCACTCAGGGCAAGGTCCGACCCCGCCCCAGCACAGCCATAGTGCGCAGGACTTGGGGTCATTTGAGGCTTCGTTCAGAACCCAAGTCTCCTCCTCTACTTCAGCCAGCTCCCCCTCCATTGCCAGGTAACACCCCAGTGCCTTTGCCCACGCCGTTCCCTCTAGAAGGCTATTGTCCCCACAGTGACTCCCACCTCACCGCTCGTCCTCTCCAAGATCAAGCCTCATCTCCTCCAAGTGAAGGCCCACCGCCTGTCTCTTTCGGTTTAATTTCCCTGAGCACACACATTTCATGGTTTGTGTTCCCATTAAGAACCAGAGACCGAGGACTGAACAGTCTCCTTCCCAACAGGGAGGGTGTCCAGCACAAAAAGACACGGAACTTCTTAGACCCCAATTGAAGCACACACAGCCTGCAAAGGTGGGGTGTCTAGAGCTGTTTGCTCTCAGTGAACAGGAGGTAAGTCCTACCCCATCTGTAAACCCAGGACACACAGAACAAAATGTTCTTTGCGCTGCGGATCTCCCCAGATGATGCCAGCCCCACAGATTCTGTTGGCGGGCGCCGAAAGGAAGCAAGTCTCACTGGGGTACACAAGCCCATTCCAATGTACTTGGGCTAGAGGTAATATTTCATAACTTTTCCCTCAGTGCTAAGAATTAAATCTTTTTCTTTTTTCTTTTAAATAATTTATCTAAATCATTGGTGTGAAGGTGTCAGATCCCCTGGCACTGGCGTTACAGACAGTTGTGAGCTGCCTTGTGGTTGCTGGGAACTGAACCCAGGTCCTCTGGAAGAACAGCCAGAGCACCTAATCATTGAGCCATCTCTCCAATCCCCTTTTGCTTTTTCTACATTTATTTATTTATTTAGTATCTCTGCACACACTTGGAGGTCCAAAGACAACTTGGGGATTGCTTTGGGTGCCAAGCACTATAACAAATGCCTTACCCACTGAGCAATCTGGAGAGCCGGTGACCTTAGAATGTGCGACACTGGACTTAAACTCCGCAGAGAATGGCATATACATATATATATATATATATATATATATATATATACATATATATCAGGGTCTCATGTGGCCCAGGTGCCTCTCACAGGGAGGTGCCATGATGCTGTGCTTAGGCTGGATCCCAAGCTGAGAGGGATTCTTTTATAAGAAAGGAGGAAGAGGCTAGAGAGAGGCCCAGTGGTTGCAGGGATGGTTGTTCATGGTGAGGAACAGAGTTCGGATCCCTAGAACCCACCAGTGACCCAGCCTGGGAAAGTGGAGCTGGCAACTCTCCAGAGCACACTGCTGAGCTCTGGATTTGACTGAGAGACCCTTCCTGCAGGTGGAAGACCATTTTTTGTTTGTTTGGTTTTTGTTTTGTGAGTGCACACACACACTCGTGCGTGCACGCACACACACATGAAAATGACAAAAGAAAAGGCAATGTTGTGGTTATACTAATCATTGATTAAACTACTCACCCGCGCCCCCGGCGTGGAAGACTCAGCTCCTTCTGAAATGAGACACAGAAAGTGGGTCAACCCAGGAAGTCTCCCCCCCACTACACAGCAACGTCAGCCATGTCGAGACCTGCTCACGCCACATGCCTCGCCCACACCAAAGGCGTCCTGCCACACTGTGAGCAACTTAAGCCTTACTCTCACCTGAGTACTGCTCACCTGGCTCCCAAGCCTGGCCCTGCCAGCGGGGTGGGGGAGGAGACTAAAATATAGATGGGCCAGCAGGATGGCTCAGTGGGTAAGGGTGCCTGCCCGCCTGACCATCTGAGTTCAATCCCTGGGACCCACACAGAGGAAGGAGTGAACCGACTTTCGTTAGTTGCCCTCAGATCTTCACAAGTGTGCGTGCACACACACAAAAGATAAGTGAGGGCAGGAAAGATGGCTCAGCGGTTAAGAACATTGGCTGTTCTTCCAGAGGACCTGAGTTCAATTCCCAGCACCCACATGGCAGCTCACAACTGTCTATAACTCCAGGTCCAGGAGATCTGCTGTCACCACACAGACATGTGTGCAGGCAAAACACCAATACATAGAAAATAAAGATAAATAGTTTAAAAAAAAAAAAAAGATAGCGGAAGCCAGGCGGTGGTGGTGCACGCTTTTAATCCCAGCACTTGGGAGGCAGAGGCAGGTGTATCTGAGGCCAGCCTGGTCTACAGAGTGGGTTCCAGGACAGTCAAGCTCACACAGAGAAACCCTGTTTCCGAAAAACAAACACAAATTGGCTGCCTGTAGTACACAGAAGGCAAGAGAGAACCCTGGCCTTGGGATCCACTGGAGCACATGCACATGGAAAATCTGCACATTTGTGACAACTTGCAAGAATGGGTTTTTCTTTTCCAGTGTGGATCCCAGAGAAGGAGCCAGGCTGCCAAATGCCGCAGCAGGCGGCTTGACTGGCTGAGCCAAGTAGCCGACCCTGGCTTTGTTTTCAAAGTACTCTATGTAGCCCAGGGTGGCTTCGAATTCATGGTGATTCTCCTGCCTCAGCTTCTCAACTGCTGAAAGGACAGGCTTGCACTACCAACTGCACCAGGGAGGTTTCCCCTGACTTCCGTGCAGGCCTTGCGATGCTTTACAGATGCCGTGCTGTGGTTTCCCCAGATGGGATGAGGGTTTAGCGTCAGGAAGGCTGCACCAGCAACCAGGGGACATTACTGTTGGCTGCTCTGACTCCTGTCACTGTTTAATCCAGCCCCTCCCAAGCAGAAACTGCTCATGTCCTGTCTCATTTACCAAGCATCTACTGTACAGGTTGGGAAACCGAGGCACGGAGACAGGGAGGGATAGCTGGGAAATGGGCTCTCTAGATGCCCCCAACTCAACAGACAAACTCACTGGGGCGGTCACTTTGGGGACACGGACTATTTTTACAATGGTGGGCTCCAGGCTACCCACGTCCCTAGGCGGGTGTTTGTCATGGCAACCAGTGACATCATCCGTACCCACAGCCAATTGGAGGGGGGCGAAAACTGCCAGGCGCTGGACCACTGGGCGGCCAGGGATTGGCAGGCAGAAGGGATGGGCCTCTGCTGTGCTAGGGCTTAAGGTCTCCTTTCTGTCCCATCCACTCATGAAGGTGTGTGTCTTACACCAGCTCCCCTACTACCAAGCCAGAAAAAGAATTCAAACTCGGAGCTCCAGCTGGTACCCCCCAATCATGGCCGTTTTCTTCCTATCTGGGGATGCTGCTGTGTGGCGTCCATCAACTGCTCAACCTCTCTGTGCCCCAGTTAACTCATTTAGAAAGCAGCAGGTCTCACAGAACCGCGCGCTGGCATCGTCAGCAACGAGTAGTATAAATGCCTCCCCAACACACAAAAGTACTCCAGGCAGGGCGCGGGGTGCTGCCAGGCCCCGGAAAGCTCCCCGGAAGTGGGCCCACACGTCCCCGCGCCATCTGCTTTCACGGCCCCCTCGCCATCTGCTCCCGCGGCAACACCCACACGGACGCCCCGCTACTGGCTGTTGTTTATTTTTCTTGGGGCCTCTCTCTGCAGCGCAGGCTGATGGCCTGAAACTCGCCATCCTCCTGCCTCAGCCTCCAGACAGCTGAAATCACAGGAAGGTGTCGTCGCTACGGGGCTCTCACTGTTTGGTTGTTGACACAGAATCCACCTCATAGCCCAGGCTGGCCTTGAACTCCTGATCCTCCGGTCTCCACCTCCTGACTGCTAGGTGGAGTCCGCGTGGTTTAAGAGTGCTGGGGGAGGAGCCAAGGTGTGCTGGGCAAGCACTCCACCAACTGAGCCCCAACTGAGTCTGCCCTTTAAATCTGTGATTAGGGGTTCCTCGTTGATCGGAGTGCTGTCTCCACGTTTCAGTCCTGGCCTACAGATCACACAGTTTGTAGGAGCCCGAGCTGGTCATGGAGCACAGGAGCCAAGGTAAGTAGTCTACACGGAGTTAAGGACCACTCGTTTTATAACTGAGAAAACTGGCCACTGTGAGCTGCGCAGAAAGACCCCAGAGTCCATCTCACAGGGATTTGACTCTGGAGCCCCGGCAGGACTTAGAACTCGAGGCTATCCTCCTGCCTCAGCTTCCCAACTCCTGGGAAGATAGGCATATGCCATTATCATTAACAAAGATCCAACTCAGGCTAAGTAAACCTGGGTGGGGGAAGCAGGCACCCCCATATGGGCTATCCTGTGACAGGAGAGATCATTGCCTGCCTTCCGGCAACCCCAGCGCCATCAACCAGGTCTGGTGGAGAGCACTTGGGAGGTGGAGTCAAGACCATTAGTTCAGGGCCAGCCTTGGCTATCAGAGGGGCTTCCTCCAGCACTTAAGAATGGAGCCTCTGCCCTTAGCAGGGTTCAGCTTCCAAACACAGGCAGCCCTGTTGATTGGCTGAGGCACTAGCCAGTTAAAGGAGTCAGAAAAGACTCCAAAGGCAAGAAAAAGGCCTGAAACCACATCTGTTTTCTTCCAGATGTCAATTTACAGAGGGTACCTCCTTGTAGCACAGTAGTACGGACTAGCCTAGAACTGCTTTTTTTTTTTTTTTTGAGACAGGGTTTCTCTGTAGCTTTGGAGCCTGTCCTGGAACTAGCTCTTATAGACCAGGCTGGTCTCGAACTCACAGAGATATGCCTGCCTCAGCCTCCGGAGTGCTGGGATTAAAGGTGTGCGCTACCACTGCCCGGCCTAGAACTGATTCTAACCCGGGCTGGAACTTGGGGTTCTAAAATAGGATTGTCGACACTATCCTACTCTGGCCTTTATTCCAGTGTCCGCTAAGCCTTCCTGTCTCCTGTTAGCAGGCCATCCCCACTCCAGGACCTGTCAAGGCTCCCCATTGTCCCATTGGGATTATAGGCGTGCGCTGCCACCACCACCCGGCTGTTTGTCCGTTTTTACACTCACGTGTGCTTATTTACTGTTTGTACCGGTGTGCCTCAGCGAATGTGGAAGACCATTCTGGAGATTGAACTCAGGTCATCAGGGTTGGTCGCAAGCGCCTTTACCCTTGGAGCCTTCCCACTGGCCCCGCTCAGCCCTATCCTTCGAACCCAGCTCTAACTGAGAAATGGGTTTTTCGGGATCATTTTGCTGTTTGGTTTTTTCTTGAACTTCTGGGCCCTACCGCCTTAGCCTCGCCCTCAGGGCTGGGATTAAAGGTGTGCCCCACCACGCCTGGCTGCCCAACTTCAGAGCAAGCCTCTCCAGGCCCTGTGGCCCTGGGCCTTTGCACCTGCCGAGTTGCTCCTCCCGTGCTCCCTCCTGCACACCCCTCCACTCCCAGAAGCCCACCCATGGTCTCCTGACCCTGAGAACCGCTATACTTCTACGGGCCTCAGTTTCCCCGTCTGTAACCTGGGGCCTATCATCTGGAAAAATTTATCCCCCCAAGTGGAATAGGTCCTGCTTGTTGACGTCAGCCGCGCCCCCATTTGCTCACCCGGAGGCGGCGTCTCTATTTTAAGAGGCCGAGGGCGGGCTCGCATCTAACTGGGGCCCTGGCGACACTCGCCGCGCATCAACCCCGCCCCCACTCCCGCCTTCCCGCCCGGGTCTGGGCAGCTAGGCTCGCTCCCGGGACCCGCCCCACTGCCCCCCTCTGAGCAGCTTTACTTAATCTTCACTTCCCCAAACTCCCCTGCCCTGTGCCCAGCCTCCCGCGGCCAGGGCAGCCTGCGCCTACCTCAGGTCTAATGCAACTGAGGCTTCGCACGCAGCAGGCGCTCAATAGATGCAGGGTAATCGGTGGTGAGCGGCTCCCCACCACAAACCTGTTGACCACTCAGGCGTGTGGTCCCAGCCTCAGAACCAACGAGGCAAACCTTTGTGAGTTTTGCAGATGTTACAGATGGGCAAACTGAGGCCCGGAGAGGCCAGAGGTGGTGTCGTTTCCCACAGTCTTATAACCAGAGTGCCCTGGACTTGCATTCGTCCTTACTTCCCGGTGGCGCAAATGCGGTAAAACGGGAACCGGGCTCGGAGAAGCCACCACACTCACACACCCTGCAGGTCCTTCCTCGTCACACAGAATTGTGACCCTGGAGAGATTGAATCCCAGGCGCGCAGCCAAGTGGGGGTGGCTTCCCTAGCAAGGGTCTCAGTTTCCTCATCTGTGGAAAGGACCGGAGGCAGGGGACTAGCTGCTTGCGGCGACACTGGCCTGCGGCTGGGCTCTGTCCACCTCAGAAACTGCACACCCGGGAGCTCGGCGCCCTCCGGCGGCTGTGGTGCGGGGACCCTGGAGCTCCTTCTCCTCACGCCAGAGGCCCATCATCAGTTTCCCCATCTATCTAACGGAGACCCTTCCCTTCCCATCACGCGTGCAACGCTCTGGGCAGCAGGTGGGAAAGGGCGCAACCTCGCTCCCCGGCCTTCCTCACTCCCTGCCTCAGTTTCCCCGCCCCGAGAGCACTGCCCGCGCGCCAGCCCGCCCGCCAAGACTCACCTGGAGCCCGCGGCGCCGCAGGAGGCTCGGCTCATCCATCGCTAAGTGCCCCTGCATGAGGCCCCGCCCCTGGCCCCGCCCCAGTCCTCCGGGCCCGCCCCCGAACACCATTGGTTCTGTCGGTCAGCTGACTCCTGGTGGCTCCGCCCCTCGGGTCCTGAGCGTTTCGCAACTTCGAGAAACGTTCTTCAGTAGCTCCCAGAGCGAGACTCCGAGACTTGAAGCTGAGGCCACATAGCGGGACCTTCGGGCGGGGCGCTCACCTTGAAACAATTCCTCAAGACTCCATCTTTAAAAAAAATGTTGTTTTTTTTTTAACCTATTTATTTTAAGATTTTTTTTTTTTGGACAGGGTCTAGTGTAGGCTGGCTTCCAGTTCCCTATGTAGCTGCAGGTGACTCTGAACTTCTGATTCCCCTTCTCTCACTTCCAGTGTTCTGGGATGACAGGTGCCGCCGCGACCGAATTTACCTGGTGCTGGGCTCGAACCCACTGCTCCGTGCACGCCTGGTCAGTGTGCGGCCAGCATTGCTAGGCATGGAACCGAGCACCTCACACATGGCTCTCTACCACGGAGATTCCTCCTCAACCCAACTGTAGGGGTTTTTAAAGCTGTCTGGAGATGGTCGTTCTGACGCTCACCTATCGTCCCAGCACCGGAGAAGGAAACAGATGATCAGGAACTTAGGTCATCCTCAACTACACAGAGTTGCGAGCCGACAAGCCTGGGCTGCATGAGACCTTGTCTCAAAACAAAACGAATAAGGCTTTTTAGCATATTCGTTACCACCACGTAACCCTAAAGTATTCCCCCAAATCCCCATCCCTACCAGCAGGCTCTCCAGCACTTGGCACCCCTCTAATCTGTGGATTTGACTGCGCTGACCTTTTTCTGTGGGCGGGGTCTTTGGGTCTGCTGGCTGTCGCTCATTTTCATGCTTTTCAGACTCCACCCACCTCAGAGCACGGTCAGGTGTGCCTTCCTTTTTACGGCTGAGTAGTATTCCAGCTCTGTGGCTGCTTACCCCTGACGGCCACTGCCACGTCTTACAGCTAGCTATCCTGTCCTGAGGTAGCTGCGATGAATGTTTCAGAGCAAGGAATTTTTTTTTGACATATGTTTTCCCTCCTCTTGGATGTATACTATACCTGCGAGACAGGACTTCCCAGGGCCATATGGCCACTGTTTCCAGGGCTAGTTGCACAAAGCACCTGCCCGCCAAACAAATGTCAACAGTGACTAAGTCCGCGGGGTAGGTGCCTGTGACAGGCAGGCTGGAAACTCATGTGCAAATTTTACCCAATCACAAGCACTGAATAGTTTGGCAAGTTAGGGAGTGGGGCAGCTCCGTGGACCAAAGCTTGTGTCTTTTAGGGACAACTCAACTGTGTGGCCCCGCAGCAGACCAGATTGCAGGCTAGGCAGCAGGGTCAGGTGTTCAACGTCAACCCGAAGTACATGAGACCCTGTCTCAAAAACCTAAACATAAAGACATAAATGCCTTAGAACACTGAAGCTGAGCGACTTGGTAAATGTTTTTTATCAGGGCCACAGAGAGAACCCTGTGGGTAAGAGCCCCGGCTGCCCTAGCGGAGGACCCAGGTCCCAACACCCTCGTGGTGGCCCACAACTGTCTGTAACTCCAATTCCAGGGGATTCTATGGCCTCTTCTGGTGGGTACCAGGCATCTGTGTGGTGCACAGATACACACGCAGGCAAACACCACACACATTAAATAAAAATGAAGAAAATCTTTAAAATTTGTTCTTATTCGTTGACTATGCCTGTGCGCTTGTTAAATGAACAAGATTTTCTCCTTGCAAATGCCTCTTTATCTTCCAACACCTGGCGGCTGCCTCGGAGCTTCAGGCTCTCTTGAGCACAGGAAAGTGGTGTTTCTCCCTCTTCACTGGAGGCCGTGAGGACATTCCGTGGTTTTTTTCTGATATGGTTTCCGGGGCCCTTGTGACCTATTCCTTCCTGCTCCCCGCCCCCAAATGTGTAATGTTTCTGAAAGTGGGGCACCCCTGGGCACTTAGCTCCCCTGGGCCTCCATGGGCAGCTGGGAGGAGCCAGAAAGGGGAGAAGGAGGGAGCACATATAGATGCCTCATACTGTGACCCCAATGAGAGGAGAACCAGCACTCTGGTATGCCATGGCTCCCCCACTTCTAACACTCTTCATGGCTCCCTATTCCTTCCCACCCAGGCCAGCCCCTCAGCCTGTCACTTGAAGAGCTGTGACAAGGACCGTGGATGGGTATGCCACATCAAGCATTCGCCATTGGCATCTAACTGCTGTTCGCCCAACCTGGTCTATATATGTAGCTCTTTGGGGAAACCGAGGCAGGTGTGTGCGCATGAGTGTGCGTGTGTGCGCGCGCGCGTTCGTGTGTGTGTGTGTGTGTGTGTGTGTGTGTGTGTGCATGTGTTTGTGCATGTATGTGTGAAGGCAACACTGGCAGAGATAGGAAGGACCAAAAGAGCCAAGTCTGAAGCCGGGCGGTGGTGGCGCATGCCTTTAATTCCAGCACTTGGGAGGCAGAGGCAGGCGGATCTTTGTGAGTTCGAGGCCAGCCTGGTCTACAAGAGCTAGTTCCAGGACAGGCTCCAAAACCACAGAGAAACCCTGTCTCGAAAAACCAAAAAAAAAAAAAAAAAAAAAAAAAAAGAGCCAAGTCTGTCCCCAGTAGAGCTCCTTGAATCCATCTCTTTGCTTCCAGCTGGGGCTCTGGACCCAGTTTCTCCATCTACATGTGGAGCAAGTCATGGCGGCCTTTCTGAGAGCAAGGGCTCTACAGAGAACACCGGAAGAGTAGCAAATTAGTTACAGTTCTAGGTGGCCTAGAACTCATGGCAATCCTCCTGCCTCAGTTTCCCAAGTGTGTCACTGCACCGACCCTTCCCTACCTCTCTGCTCCATCTCTCTGAATCTGCCCCTCTCCCAGGCTCCCTGCACCCCTCCTATTCGGTGCCATTGAAGTCAGTCTGCATGGGTCACAAAGTCCCAGTGTCCCATGCCAGGGCCAAGACACAGCCTCATTGTCCTGGAGGCACTGACCTCATAGCCTTCAGGAAGCTTGACCCTGGGCCAGGCCAGGCCAGCTGGGCAGTGACATGACTCCTCCCCCAAGGGGCCCCTCCCAAAGCACCATGAGCTCATACACATGGGCCTCGATTTCCCCAAAAGATTATCATCTGTCTGCCTTGTCTAAGACCTGGAAATCGGGAAACTTTTAATTCAAGACAGGGTTTCTCTGTGGAACCCCAGCTGTCGTGGAACTCACTCTGTAGACCAGGCTGTCCTCAAGCTCACAGAGATCCACCTACCTCTGCCCCAGGAGTGCTGGAGTCAAAGGTGTGTGCCATGTGCCTGACTCTGGAAATATCTTTAGAGAAAAATCATACCACTTAAAATTCTTTCTTTCTTTTGAGACAGTAAGGCTACCCTCAAATACATGGCCATCCCCATGTCACAACTTTTCAGGCACTAGGAAAAGGACTTTAAAATGTAACCTACAGGCTGGGGTTCAGTTTCTAGGCCTCTGCTTACCTGGGCTCCATGCCCAGCACCCCATAAACCAAGTGTGGCTGTGACACCTGTCATCCCTGCACTGGGGAGTTAAAAGCAGGAGGTTCCGGAGTTCAAGGCTTAATTAAGTCCATCCTGAGCTACATGAGACCTTGTTTCAAAAAAACAAAAAAATGCCAGACTAACCTATCTTGCTTGGTGTGGGTTGTAATGTGGGGGTTGGGGTGACTGACTTCCTGGCTTTCACTTCCACTTTGACTGGTGGGGGAGACAGAGAGTTTTTCTTTCTTTTCTTTTCTCCTCTCTTTCATTTTCTTTCCCTTCTCAGCATCAGTGTGTTCTGGGTTGGGGACAGCGTGGCTGGGCCTCATAGACAGTGCAAAAGTGCCTGGGTACTGATGGCTCCTCTCCTTGTGGACCTGATGGGGCTGCCAGGGACCAGCCCGCACTTCTTAATCTTCCTCCTGTTTATCCAGCTGGGCGGTGAGTGCTTACCTCACATCTCCTGGGTAAGGGAAGGGTCCCGGTGAGTACCACATCTCTGCCATCTCTGTGGCCATGGTTACAGGGATCATTGGTTTGCTTCTTCTCCTCTGCTGAGGGCCTGGCCCATTCTCATTTCCCATCTCTTTAAGTTGAAGAAGCTCAAGGAAGGCGCACGAAAGGTGGCATGTTCTGCTCACAGCACACATAGAATCTGCACAGGCAGGTTCACGGACACCTCATGGGCCAGGCTGGGATCCACCTCTGCCATGACTGCTGTGGGATTTGAGCCAATTCTATGCTCTCTGTGCCTCTGCCGTCCTCTGCAGACTACGAATCTGCAGCTTGTTGGTCCTCCATCTCAGTTTGATGGACAGGACTTCACAGCAGCAGGGCTGCTGGCCGTCAGGGCACACCATGAGCTGAGACTCACGGCAAGAGGCAGGAACCCCAGATTTCTAGAGAGGGCCACCATCACAGAGATAGCTGATTGGTGATGGCAGAGAGGGGACAGCAAGGCCAGGAAAGATGGCTTGAGGCTGCAGGATTGGGGTCACCAGAGAGAACAGAAAGGATGAGGGGCATACCTGTCACCTCGGAATCCAGAAGGCTCCCAGAGTTGGGCTCAGCCTTACCTGCGGTGTCCTGCACTCTCATGCAGGGCAGACACTGGTGCCCCAAGTAGCACAGGGACTCTGCTCACGGGACATCAGCATCTCCTGGTAGCCCTGACTGCCAGCAGCCATGTACACTCACAGGGACCTCAGCCTCCCCTGCCGGGAAGTACTAACCCTGCTCTGCCTATTGCTGTGCCCCCTGGAGCGGCAGGGATGTGAGAGAACTTAGAACTTGGGTAGTGAGGGAGGAAGGCTGAGGCTAGACAGACAGACGGCCTGGAGGATGGGTGGATGGGTGGGAGAGTAGGGAGTAGGGGTGGAGGGGTGGGGTGGTGCTGGGGGGGTTGGCGAGTGAGCAGTCTGCGATTGCATGTGTTGATGGCAAACAGACATGCAGACAGGAAAGGGAGTAGGCAGGCTGACGCCCACCCCTGTGCCCTCCCCGGGCTCATGTGTCCCACTGCACTGTGACACTACTGTCATTTTCTCTTGCCTTTCAGTCTCCTGCAGAGACTGCTGCTTTGAGAGGCCACCGCCTTACCCAGATGGAGACTCAGGTCTGGCACAGCCCCTCCCAAGCAGAGAGCCACAGCAGGCTCTGCCTCATCCTGTCCCCGTCCTGCTGTCCAGGCAGTTCCCTGGGAAGGTGGGGGAGCTGCCAGTACTCATGCTGAGAAATCTAATCTACCTGAATGGGGGGGATCAGTCAATCCAGCGTGTGCAAAGTCCCGAGGTGGAGTTGGCGCTACACCTGTGATGTCCAGAAACTGCCGACAGGGCGGAGAAGGGCAAGCAGGAGGGATGCAGAACACCTCAGGACACTTCCGGTAGCAGAGTCTACCTCTCACTCTCCCGCCATCTCTCCAGGCTTCTTGTCCAGACCCAGGAACTTGAGCTGTTACAGGATTTCCGGGGCAGAGTATGAATGCTCCTGGCAGTATGACGGCGCTGAGGACAATGTCACTCACTTCCTGAGGTGCTGGTGAGGACCCATCCCCACAGCCTAACTTGTTCCCCAAATCCATTATAGCCAAGATCTGTGTGAGCTCATGATTAACGTGATCCCTGCCAATCTTTGTCATGTGACAGCAACAGCATTGTCACTACAAGGGGTAGAAAGAGCATACAACATGTTCTTTAATCTTTATTTATTTCTTTATTTTGGTTTTTTCGAGACAGGGTTTCTCTGTGGCTTTGGAGCCTGTCCTGGAACTAGCTCTGTAGACCAGGCTGGTCTTGAACTCACTTTAATCTTTATTTTTTATTTTGGTGTTTCGAGACAGGGTTTTTCTGCATAGCCCTGGCTGTTCTGGAACTCACTCTGTAGACCAGGCTGGCCTTGAACTCACAGAGATCCGCCTGTGCCTCCCAAGTGCTGGAATTAAACAGTGCCCAATTTATTTTCTAGTCTTCATCCTCAAACTCACCTTTATGATTCTCTCCCGCCCATTCCCTCGCCCCACTCACCCGCTCCGCTGACTCTCACTAACCCCGCCCATTCCCTCGCCCCACCCACCCGCTCCGCTGACTCTCACTAACCCCGCCCATTCCCTCGCCCCACCCACCCGCTCCCCTGACTCATCACTAACCCTCCTTCTGCAGCTTTGGCGGTGGGCGCTGCTGTTACTTTCCTGCAGGCAAGTCCCGGACTGTGCAGTTCTCAGAGCAGGCTGGCGTCCCTGTGCTTTCTAACGTCACGTTTTGGGTGGAGTCTCGACTCAACAACTGGACCATGAAGTCTCTGGAGATATCACTGTACCTGTCCCACTGGAGTGAGCTCTCTGTCTTACCTGTCCCTCTGTCACCCCGGGTGTAGGACACTGCCCTACAAGGCAGTCTGGCTGGTTGGGAATACCCTATCACAGGACTCCTAGGTTTCTTCTGGCGTGGCCTGAGCCTCTGCTCGCTGCAATCCTACAAGCCCCTCCTGGGAGCTGTGTGTTTTCGTGACTCAGCGTGTGCTTGACAGAGTCCTGTTCAGGGTGTGCATGAGTGAGGATGTGGGTTGTGGGCAGCTTCAGGGACGCGGATGTGGGTGGGCTAGAGAGGGGGGCTGCGCATCCTTCCACTGAGACTAGCAAAGTGAACTCCCAGACGCAGAAAATTAATCAGGGCAGCAAAAAGTTCACTTGTCTGTGGGAACATACCCCAGCAAGATGTTTGTTTTGGGGGCTGGATAAGGCTGAAGATGGGACTAGGATTTTCTGCAAACTCTACCTGGAGCCACACTCCCCAGCCCCTCACTGGGGATTCTAGGCAGGGGTTCTACCTCTTATCATGCCCCCAGCATTTTGTTTGTTAAGTTTTATTTACTTTTATTTTACGTGTATGTGTGTTTTGCCTGCATATCTGGTGCCCAGGAAGGTCAGAAGAGGGCGCTGGATACCCTGGAGCTGGAGTTACAGTTCTGAGCTGCCTTGTGGGTCCTCTCAGGTGCTTGGAGCCCCTGAGTCATCTCTCCAGCCCTTTAATACAGTCAATTTTTCAGCCATGTGGTGATGGCACACGCCTTTCATCCTAGCACTTAAGAGGCAGAGGCAGGTGAATCTTTGTGAGTTCGAGGTCAGCCTGGTCTACAGAGTTCCAGGACAGCCAGGATTGTTAGAGAAATCCTGTCTTGAAAAAACAAACAATCTATTTTTTAAAAATCATTGGATTGGGGACATAAGTCAGCAAGTAGTCATGATTAGCATACACGGAGCCCTAAGATTTTACCCCAGCACCACAAGTACCAGTCATGGGGGTGCACGCTTGTCATGCCTGCTCTTGGGAGGCCAACCTCAGCTACAAAAGACCCTGGACTGAAAAAAAAAAAAAAGCTGAGCCAAAACGTCTGTACCACACACAACCCTGGGTACAGAATGCCGGCCTTAGCTGGGTCTGGAAATTTGCACTCAAATGACATGCACGACTCCCTCCCCCCAGTCAAGTTCAACCATCCCCTGGGAAACGTCAAAGTGTCGCGTTCAGATGGGCAGTTACGCCTGGATTGGAATGTTTCTGATGAAGTCCCGGCTGAGGTGCAGTTCAGGCGCCGGACCCCCACAACAAATTGGACTTTGGTGAGTTTGTTTCCCAGGTCAAAGGTCACCTTTGCACCAATAATGTCGTCCTGTTGGTGTCTTCATCCTCCGAGCTGGGGGTTCTGATGGTGATCTCCCTGCTTGAGCCCCCTCCCCGCCTAGTGGCACCCTTTCCCCTCCCCGAGGATCCTGTCGGCATCACTGGCATCACCGCTTCTCGCTTCCTCGCTCCCGCTGGGTGGTCGTCACCCTGCCCAAGGGCTAGCCCTCTCAGCCCCACCCACCCCGGCTTCACAGAGCAGTATGACCACGTCTTGCTTCCTCAGAATCATTTTCTCCTTTGCTCCCTCCCTCTCTCTCTCCCCAGCTCACTTCTCAACCACTGCAGCCCCATGCCTCCCCCACTTCTATGATCCTACCCAGGCCTCAGTTTTCCCCTTATACAAATGGGAAATGGGTCAGGAGAGCTGGGCAGCTCCACCCTTCACGTCAGTGCTGAGGAGGTGCTGGAGGGAGGGTGCTCAGGCTGCACAGTGAGGTCCAGGCTCCAAGAGCAAAACAGAAAGGCTTCAAGCACTCGTTTCTGGGCCATGAAGTTTAAACCAACCACACACACAATCTCTTTCTCTTTTAGGGTGGCTGTGGACCCCAGAATGACTCTGGCTTAGGTATGATTGGGGACATTCAGGACAGCAGTTCTGATGAGCATGAACCAGTCCCCTAGTGCACGCAGGGCTGTGGCCTGCCCTGTGGCTCAGCGTGGGTTTATTCAATCTTGCAATCCACAGAGAGGTGGAAAAGAACCCGGGTCATGGTCGAGGGATGGGGCGGGGCTCCAGCGAAGGAGCAGGAGTGGCTGAAGAGAGACCCACAGACAATCAGATCACACAGTGTTGGTCAGCCCCAGCACACTGACCCCGTGGTTAATGCCCTGCCTCTACCCAGAGTCCTGTCTTTGCCCTTCGGAGAACGCAGCCCAGGAGTTCCAGATCCGGCGGCGTAGGTGGCAGCTCTCCTCAGGGGCCCCTGGGGGTCCCTGGAGTAATTGGAGCAACTCTGTGTGTGTTCCTCCAGGTGAGCGGGCCCTGGGTTACAAGCTCTAGGAAAGGGTCAGAGCTGTGTGTCAATCATCCCAACATAGGAAAGCTGAGGCGGGAGGACTATGGTTTTGAGGTCAACCTAGGCACCATAGCCAGACCCTCTCTCAAAAGGAATAAAGGATGTGCCAGCAAGTTCCAGACATCAGGCTGAGGGGATTAGAAGTAAGGCCACGGGGAAAGCCTGCTCAGGCCTCTGGAACAGTGCCCTGCCTCAGTGCTCTTCCTCACTCTGTGCGGTCTCTAGCTGCAGGCAGCAAGCCTGTGACTGAAGGTGTGGTGTCTCCTCTCTCCTTACAGAACCCTTACCCCAGCCTGAGGTCAAGTTCCTGGTGGAGCCACTGACCCAACATGGAAGACGGCGTCTGATCATGCAAAAACAGGTGACCGGGCCAGCCTGGGCTGGGGTTGGCCTGGGCAGGGGCAGGTGACTAGGCTAGCCTGGGCTGGGGTTGGCCTGGGCAGGGGCAGGTGACTGGGCTAGCCTGGGCTGGGGTTGGCCTGGGCAGGGGCAGAAGGTAGGAGTGGAGGAGAAAGAGACACAGAGAAAGGTGGGAGTGGTGGAAGCCACAGGTGGTGGGGTCAACTTTGAAGGTTGGCAGGGTATGGTGGCCAGCACCTGTCACTCCGGCACAGGAGAGGGGGTCCCAGGAGCTCATCCTCAGCCAGCCTGTGTGTGTGTGTGTGTGAGGAGGGGAGAGCAGTGTCCTGGGTCCTCATGCCTATCTCCTGTTCTGCAGTCGCCACAGCCTGCTGTCCCTGAGGGCTGCCTGAGAGTCAAGCGCGGTGCCCACGGTGCCCACGTGATGTATTTGGTGGATGTGAACATGCTGTCCTGTCTGTGCCAGCATCAGCCCTCAAAGACTGTGTCCCTGGGCAAGACGCTGAGCCTTTCTGGGGCTGCCTACGAGCTGGCTGTGGTCACCAAGACTCGCTTCGGCCGCATCTCCAACCAGAAGTGGCGCATTCCTGCCCAAGACCTTGCAGGTGCTCAGGGCCCAGGGGCGGGAACATGAGGGTGGTGGGATCCACCCTGCGCAACAAGCATGTGTGGGCCCGGGTTCATTTTTCACGCACAAAAGAATGAGATTAAGATGCTGTCCAAGTGAAAGGCGCATTAAAAATTCAGTCGTTGAGATGTATGTCTAATGTAGGACTTTAAACCGCTCAAAGGGGCGACTGAGCCTCCAGCTCCAGCTGTGGGGATCTGACGCGCTCCTTTGGTCTCTGTGGAAGTGCACACACAAGACAGACAAGTTTTTAAAATTCTAATTGACAAGCTCTGCCTTAGACCAGCTGTAGTCTCCATCAGTGGGATGACGGGTTGTGCTGCATGCTCACTGTGTGTAAATCTGACTGAATTATCTCTCATGAGAAAGTTCATTGTCTCGTGTGTGCACACATGCTAGGGTGTGTGTGTGGAGGGCAGAGGCCAACCTTCCATGGGTTCCAGGGATCTAACTCAGTTTGCCAGACCTGGCAGCAATTGCCTTTACCTACTTTGCCATCTTGCCAGCCCCTAAAATATTTTTATCTACTAAACGGGAGACCAGTTGGGCACACTGGCTGTAACTGTCACTCCAGCACTCGGGAGGCAGAGGCAGGTGGATCTCTGTGAGTGCAAGGTCAGCCTGGTCTACAGAGAAACAGGACAGCCAGGGCTACACAGAGAAACCCTACCTCAAAAACCAACCAAACAAAAAGTATCAGCCTGGCACACAGTTTGCGTTCAATAGGTGCCAGTTGATCTCCTCAGAGGTGGAGGCTGAGTGTGGGTCTGGGATTGTCGCTGATATGCTGGTGACACTTGGGGTTCCTTACAGAGACGAGAACCCTGAATGTCAGTGTGGACGGCAACATAACATCCATGCACTGGGTAGCCCAGGCTCCAGACACCACCTACTGCGTGGAGCGGCAGGCACAGGGCCAGGACAGGAACCACACCCACTGTACCCTGATTGCACCACCAGAAGATGGGGATCCTGCCAGGGTGGGTATGTCACTCTCAGATAAATATCCTCGTGATAACACATGGCTAGCCCCAACCTGCGGGGTCTGTGCAGACAGAGGGCGTCTGAAGCCCAGAGAGGTGCCTCACTTACTCTGAGTGACACGGGCCGGAACCCTGAGGACTGGCATCTCCAACCTTGGCTGGGTTCCCAGACTCCTCCCTGGGCAGGTCACACCCTGGGCATAATGAGTCTCACATAGGGTGGGTGGTGATTTAAACATTTTCCTGCCAGGGAAGGTGGCAATTCACAGTTGCTTGTTGTGAGTTAAAGAGGTCTGGAGAAGAAGCCAGATGGTCCCGGCAGTGTCTGAGTTTGGGCTGGAGCCCTAGCGGGAGGGGGAGCACTTTCGTGGCTCTCAGAGAGGCCCAGCTGAGGCTGCAGAGCTGAGTTCCTTACCCACAGAGTAGAGGCTGGAGTAGTGAGATGAAGGATTCAGGAGAAAGGCATAAGGGATTTGAGGTACGAGTCCCAGAAAACAGCACAGCCAGCACAAAGACTGAGGGTTAAGAGCACAGCGGATTCAGTGGCCTCGCTCTGCTGGTCCTTCCAGTGACCCACAGCTGGAGCTCAGAGCCTGCGCTGGGCCAGGGGCGATGTTACCGCCTCACTGTCTTCGGCTCCAAGAATCCAGAGAACCCAGTGTTGTGGTCCACGATCCTGTCCAGTTACTTCTTTGCGGGTAACGGTAAGAAGCTCTGACCTGTGCTTTGGGTCCTTGTGACCTTGGAGTGTCAGGTGACCTGTGGACAGGTCAAGGGCTGTTGGCAGAATCAGGTCTGTGGGCGGAGCCAGGGCTGTGGGTGGAAACAGGGCTGTGGGCGGGGCCAGGGCTGTGGGTGGAAACAGGTCTGTGGGTGGAGCCAGGGCTGTGAGCAGGGACAGGGTTGTGGGTGTTGCCCAGAATGTGAGCAGGCAAAATGCTAACCCTATGGTTGGAGTCACGTCAATGACTATACGTAGAACCCAATGGGGGGTGTCAGGAAGTGGGTGGAGCCATGGTAGTGGGTGGAACTTGGCGCGGTCACCGCGGTGGGCGGGGCCTTCCCTTGGGCAGTCCCACCGCTGAAGGTTTTGCACAGCCTCGGCAGCTGGGACCCCGCGCCACCTGTCGGTGAAGAACCATAGCGGGGACTCGGTGTTCGTGGAGTGGGCGCCGTCGCGGCTGAGTGCCTGTCCGGGGGTCCTGATGCGATACGTCGTGCGCTGCGAGGCTGAGGACGGCGAGTGGGCGTCAGGTGGGGCACGTTGGCGGGAACCCGAGGCTGGGCGCACCCCCTAGTCCTCCCTTAAACTTGTGAGCCTGTGAGGGCCATTCTCACTTAAAGCACCAATTTTATTTTTTTTACACGTTTTAACTACGTGTTTACTGATTCATTTACCGTGTATAATAACGTCGTGTCCGCGGAGCACGCGTGGGCCAGAGGACAGCTTGCAGGTCGGGCCCTGGGGTCGAACTCTCTTCAGGCTGCCTTCACCGAGGATTCACCCAGCCTGCCTTGCTTTTTGATTTTTTTTTTTTTTGTTTTGAGTCTCACTCTGTAGTCCAGGCTAGCCTCAAATTTACAGCAATCCTGTCTCAGCTTCCTCAGGAGCTAGAGGTGGAACCCTTGACTGTTTCTGCTACCTCTTAAAATCTTCAGCTATCGGTTGATGATTTTATGTGCACGTGTATCGCCCGCATTTGTGTCCGTGCACCACGAGCGTGCCTGATGGCTGCGGAGGCTGACAGTCGTGAGCTGCCCTGTGGGTGCTGGGAACTGAACTCGGTTTACCCTACAGGGCTGCCCCCGAGTGTCAGATTCGACCCACGTGTCATGAAAGGAACCCTAACCCACGTTGCCTCCCTCCAGCAGAGTGGCTCGTGCCACCCACGAAGACCGAAGTGACACTCCAGGGACTGCGCAGTGGCGTGGTGTACAAAGTCCAGGTGCGAGCCGACACTGCGCAGCTCCGAGGTGCCTGGAGCCGCCCCCAGCACTTCAGCTTCGGTGAGTGGGACCGCAGCCAGCTGCTTACCCAGAATGCACTTTGCTGCTCTTCCTGTAATGACCTCCACAGCCGGGTGGTGGCCAAGATTCCCCCTGCAGCTTTCCATGGGCCTCCGCAAAAAGGACTAGTCGGAATTCCTCTTCTCCTTCGGCCTTCCTCACCTGCCTGCAATATTTGATCCCCACCCCTCGCCACACATTTGTTAAACTCCTATTCATCCTTCAAAACCATGCTGTAAAGTTCCCTCCTCCAGGAAGCTCTCCCTACCTGCCTCTGATCACAGCGACAGGGTAACTGCTCTCTGTCCTCTTGACTCCTTGGGTTGCTGCACCTGGGTCAAACTGTCTTCCCTAGTCAGGCGGCTTCTGCCCTGCCGGGTGGGAAAGAAGGAAGGGTTCACCTCCCTCAGCTCAAGTTGTCCCTCCCGCCCACAGAGGTGCAGATTTCCCGTTTATCCATCATTTTCGTGTCCCTGGGGAGCTTTGTTAGCGTACTCCTTCTCGGCGGCCTCGGATACATTGGCTTGAACAGGTAAGTCTCACCTTACTCCTCCCGAGCTGACATTAGGGCAGTGTTGAGCCCAAAGTGTGTATCTGTCCTGGTCTTATAGACAAGGAGATGGGGCACTGAGGGTCAGGAACCAGATGGACGGGGACTCGGTCACACCACGCCCTTTACAGCATAACGGGAAAAAAAGGGAGACTCAGAGGCCCCCTCTGATCTGCCACCCTTTCTTCCCAGGGTGGCCTGGCACTTGTGCCCACCGCTGCCCACACCCTGTGCCAGCACGGCTGTGGAGTTCCCTGAAGGCCAGGGCAAGCAGGTAAGTGTTCCTTTTCAGCTTCGGACTGTTGTTTGGTGCACACTGTGGGCAGTGGATGTGGTCCAGACAGGCAGCGGAGTTTTCTAGAAGTCATATCATAGAAGCAGAACCTAAGTGGCTTCGACAGACAGGGAACTTGAAAAGCAAACGCCAGGCTGTGTGCTTCAGGCATGGCTGGATCCAGGAACACGGGATCCTGCTCCCTGGGAATAGCTCGCCTCCTGAAGGCCTCACCCCTGACTGGTTCAGGGGACTCTCTGGCCTCCCTGTTAGTTGCCACCTAAGTCTCAGGGCCAGATCTCATTGGTCCACCTGAGTCACAGGCTTAGTGGAGCTCGTGTCTAGAGTGCTCTGGCCAGTCCAAAGAGATGCATGGTCACGTGGGCTGAGGAAAGAGGGGGGGCCTCCTGAGAACAGGGTGCCGATACCCAGTGACATGGCTCTCCCGACTGTTGGGCTCCACTCCCGTCCTAGCTGCACCCGACTAAGTAGCTCCGCCGAGGCACTGGTCCCGCCCACATACCCTCACGCTGTCCCGCCCCCTCACTCAGTCATGGCTCCGCCCACAGCCCTGGCTCTGTCCCTCCTTTAAGGCTTGGCTGTGGCGCAGCCCTGAGGACTTCCCGGAGGTGCTGTGCCCGCGAGAGACGCTGGTGGTGGAGGTGGCCCGGGACGCGGGGGACGGGACGGGGTCGCCGCAGGCTGCCCCTGCGCCCGCCCTGCACACCGCGCAGTCTTTGGAGGACGGGAGACAGATGCCCGGACGCCCGGAGGCCAGGGGCCTGGGCCAGCACTGTCCCCGCGGTGGCCTGGCCCACGAGAGACTCCCGCTGCTCCTGGGGGGTGTGACCCAGGGAGCCTCCACATTTGGCGATCTTTGGTGGACTCAGAGGACTGATGAGCCAGGACACTCCAGCCGGCCTGTGGGTCAAGCGGACTGACGGGGCAAGCCTGGGCCCTATCATTGGTCTCTGCTTCGGGTCCTTCAGATTGAGCAGACCTGGTCCTGTGTCCTGGGCTGGGCCTAACCCCGCGAGCACTAGACAGGGAGTCTGGATATTAGAGCGTCATAAGCGAGGTGACTGCGGGCTCAGCACCGTGAGAGTGGGCGGCAGGGCCTAGACATCTGCGGGAAGCCACACATCCAGACTCAGTTTCCCTGTGGAGTACTGAGCACTTAATAAATGGGCCTTCCCAGTGACTGACAGCTGAAGCTGGCCTTCCTGTGCACTTCCGGGGTAGCCTGAGCTACGTGAGACCCCGAGTGGAGGACAGTGAGTTGGACCTGGGTGGGAGGGACAGTGGTGGTGTGAGGCCTCGCCGTCCAGATCAGGGGCCGCCGCACCCCAGGTGCACCCCATGTCCGCTCCTGTCTGCATAGCCGCGAGATAAAAACACGCGTCCTTAACTGCTCACGTGACCGCGAGGGGGCAGCCGCGGCGTCCGCAGGGTGTGAGAACCCGGCCTTTTACAGGAGTATCCCCCCCCCCCCCCCGCAAGGCCGCACCGTGGTTCCTGTAGCTCAGGCTAGCCCAAACTCCCAATCATCTGGACTCAGCCTCTCCAGCGCTGGGGTGTGTCGGGTTCCTCCAGGCACCCGGAGGCTGAGCTGGTTGGAGGAGGCTGCGCTTGGGAGACTTTTCCAACACAAATGGAGTCAGCCTGGGGAGCAGGAGCAGTCAGACCAGACCTGGGGGTGGGGAGTCAGTCACCTGCATCCGGCCCGCATGGTGACCAAAACTTTCCATCCAGCTCCCTGTTTGATAGAAGATACATTGTGTCCTACCGCTAACAGGAAGGACAACAGGCCAGGAGAGGGTGACTGCCTAGGAGTCCCCTTCCCCGCAGAGAGGGGCTGGGGGCGTGGCTCAGGGGAGAGTGATTTTCTTTAACGCAGGTCGTCTTGGGTTCAACCCTCACCAGTCCCAAACATCAGAACACTGGCAGTGAACCAGGCACAGCCTGCGTGGCATGAGATGTCTCACAGAATGGTGCAGGCAAACACAGATGCACCCATCAACAAACTGAAACCATGATGGGGGCTGAGAGGGTGCAGGGTGAGCGGTCCCAGAGGATGCCGTGCTGGGGCCGTGAGTGTGAGGACTGAGGGGAGGCCAGCAGCGGTGTGGGGAGGCCGGATAAAGGTCTGTGGCCAGGGACCCAGGCAGTTCACCATCCTCAGCCTTAGCCTCCAGAGTGCCAGGTGACCGGTGTGCACCCTCCTTCAGCCCTCTTGGTGGTTTCCATCTGTGGGTGGCAGGTGTGGAGCCTGTCAAAGCAGGGACATGAACTGCCTCAATTCCTCCCCAGGCGCCTCCCTGCGATGTCCAGGAGCCTCTGCCTCTTGCTGGGATGTGTGGATTGTCACAGGTTCTGGGGAACATGTCCCGCGGGCAGTGACCAGACCACAGAGCAGCCCTGGGGTCGCTGCCTGTGCCAGGCAGCCGGTGCTCTAAAGCTGTTTATTCACACTGCATTCACACCCCACACACTTGCTCATTTAAAGTGCACAATTTGTTGACATTTAGCGCACATTCACTTGGTGTGCAAACAGCTACCAAATGCCAGGGTATCTGTCCCCACGTTTCCCTGCACAGGCTGTCACAGCCCCAAGCATCTTCTGTCTCTGGGGATTAGCCTGTTCCGGGCACTTCAGAGCAATGGGGTCACTTTGCGCTGGCTGCTGTCAATCGCCCACGTTGTATTTTTGAGGTTTTCCAGCACTGTCAGCTCCTTCTTCTTCGCAGCTGAGTAGTATTCCCTTGAGAGCCTCGAGCACACTCGCAGGCCTGAGGTGATGGGAGCAGGCTGCTCTCCCCGCCTTGCTCTCCCTCTCCCCTCTGCACCCCTTCACTTCACCTTTCTTGCCTTGCTGTAGATGGAAGCCAGGATCTTGTTTCGCCCTCTGACCCGGAGCCATGCACCCAGCCAGGGACTCAGATGCCAAATTGAGTCTACATGACTCTCCTGGTCTCTGAGCCACTGCGGGGGTCTCTTTCTGCCCCCACAGCAGCCATGGCAGGGCGTCAGGGAACCTTCAGCCTCTGGGAGCCACTGTCCCCAGCACTATGCCTGAAAACGGCACAGGGGAGGAGGGTTTCCATGGAGGCCCCTGCTCAGCCTGGCCTGCTGGATGCAATCTGCTCTGGCTGCCGTCCCCACCCTGGCCTGACCCAGCCCTGGACCCTTCCTGAGAAAGCTGGAGTGGCTTCCCTCCATGGAGAGCAGGTTATACAGTCAATCAACAAACATATCAGAAGGAGGGTTCAGGCAGACCTCTGGTGCCTTCTCCAGCTATGATTAACCATGCTTCCTGTGACCAGCCCCTGCCTGAGTACCTGGGACATCCACATGTCTCCTGGCCCCCTCCTGAGTCTAATTGCAATGCCTTTCTCACTTACATGCCACCAATGTAGGGAGTCTGAAATCTGTCTGCAGTAGTATCTTCAGGGTTTAAATAGTGCACCCCTGAAGGACAGACTGAAGTCGGGGCTTCTGAGTCCCACATCAGAATCAGACAATAAGGGGGCTGTAAGGGTCAGAAGGGGAAGAGGAATTCCCGGAGGAGGAGGCTTTGGGCCAGGCAGGATGAGTGGAGGTGAGTGAGGACATCTCCATGCAAAGGCCCTGGGGTAGGAGTTTGTGCCTGTGTAGGGGAGACCATAGGCGTGACCACAGGGCAGGTCCCCCTCCCCAGCAGCAGCATGCCCTTCCAGGGTCTTGAGAACCCAGAGTATTGGATTCCTGCCTCCCCAAGGACAGGGGGACTTCTGTGAATTATGAGTGCTTTGGAGACTTAACAGGTGGGGAAATTGAGGCACAGAGCAGAGCCATTCCTGCTGATCCATCCATCCGCCACTCCCCTGCGCAGCCTGCCTGGGGACTCTCACTGGCAGAAACAGTGGCAGCTGGTTTCACAAGTGGCTGCAGGCTGGTATCGGTTTGCAGATGACACACCGGATCACACGGCCTGGGGTGGCCAAGGGAGGTTGGCTCTGCCACAGTGTACTGGAGGAAAGAGGGCCATGGCACTGGGACAGGGAGGGAGGAGCCTGGGACCAAGCACGAGCCCTCATTCCGGGTGCTCAGTCAGGAACTGCCTGCACACTATTGTCCCATATAGCCCAGGCTGACCTGAAGCCCATTATGTATAGTCCAGGCTGGACCCAAACTCCTGCCTCAACAGAAGCCCCTGCTCGCCAGTTCTCTCTTCCCAGATGACAAAATCTAGCCCTGGATCCCTCAGTGTGTGTGTGTACACACATTCCCGGGGCACAGTGGTTAGAACAGCCTTTGCAAGAGACCAGATCAGCTCCCAGCACCCACGTGGTGACTCCCAATCATCTGTGACTCCGGATCCGGGGTTGCAGCACCCTCTCCTGGCCCCTTTGTGCAGTGCACCAAGTGGGCACACAGACTTGTAAACCATACCGCCCTCAGCCACAGTATGATGTTACTTTGCTTCCTCTTACCACGTTCTTCAAGGCAACCTGTGATGAACAAAAAGTCCTGTTACTTTTTTAAAGTATGTATGTTACTGTGTGTCTTGCACTGGAGCCTGTGGAAGCTGGGGGTGGGGGAAGGTGGCCAGGTCAGCATCTGGTGTCTTCCTCTGTGGCCCCAACCGTAGCTTTGGTGCCTGTCCTGGAACTAGCTCTTCTAGACCAGGCTGGCCTTGAACTCACAGAGATCCACCTGCCTCTGCCTCCCTAGTGCTGGGATTAAAGGCCTGTGCCACAACCTCCCAGCTTGTTTTGTTTTTTAGAGAAAGGGTTTCGCATAGTTTTGGAGCCTGTCCTGAAACTCACTGTGTAGACTAAACTGTCCTCAAACTCACAGAGGTCCTTTGCCTCCCGAGTGCCGCCACTGCCCGGCGTTTCATGCATTTTTACTAATCTACTTGTGGGGCAAAGGTCAGAGGGCGACTTTCAGGTGTCAGTTCTCTTTGTCCACTGTGCGGGGTCTGGGGCTGGAACTCTCGTAGTCAGGACTGGCAGTGG